ACGAGCCCCCAGCCGCCTTCGCGTAGGAAAGCCTCCTGCTGCCTGTTGACCGGTGTGGTGGAGAAGAGGCAGCCGCCGGAGGAATCTTCGGAATCGACGAAGCGACTTGTCGCTTCGCCGATTCCAGCTCCTCCGCCAGCCGCCTATTCTCCACCTTCGTCTTTCTAAGTTCTTCGCGAAGATCCGCCGCCTCCTTCTCGGCCAGGGTGATATCTCACCCTTTCTGCTTGCCACCCTGGCCATCAAGGTGGCGAGCACGGCCTCGGAGATCCCCACGGCACGATTCAACGCCCCCACGAAGGTCCCCTTTAAGGTATTGGACCTTCGTGAGACTAGTCGAATCGTGCCGAGGGCTCGACCGACCTCCGAGGCCCGCTCGCTCACCTTGTTCTCCTTCAGCAAACCTTTCGCGGCGCTGTCCTTAAAAACTTCCTTTATTGGGCGCTTGTCCCTCAGGGATCGGAATATGCCTGCGTCCAGGATGGCTTGTACCTCCTGTTCCAGCCTGGTCTGCTCCGCTTCTTTCCTCTTCTCCTCTGCTGCCGCCTTCTTCTCCCTTATGCCGATGCCCGCACCGGTGACCACGGGTCTGCCGTGACCCCTCTTCACCGGCTCAAGTGCCGGCCCTGTCGTTATAACGCAGGAGGCACTGCTGCTGCTGCTACTTGTGCTCGCCTGCTCTCTCGTCCTCTTCTTCGGGCCGTCTCTCAATCGAGATACGGGGATCCTCGACCCCTGCGAGAGCAGGACATCGGAGAGGACCACCAGTCCACCGGTGGCCCCCCTCGACGCTCCCTTAACCCCCGCAGGTCCCGAAGCCCCCGCATCCCGACTCCCCTCAGGAGGGATTTGTTGCTCCTATTTTTGGAACAGCGGGGGCCGGGTTTATCAGTCAATATGGTGTTAAGACCCCCGATCCCCTTTGCTCCAATGGTCCCACGTTGGGTGGCCGCTCGCTTTGGCCTGCCCGGCGAGCTCACCTCGCCACCTCCGCGGTCGGAGGGGCGTCTCCCCGAGGGCGGTGGTCGACCCTCATTTGTTGGCCGCACCCCAGTGGCTAATCCACTTGGGCCAGCTAGCTCTTCCTCCCCAGGGGGTGGGGAGGTGGCACCTGCCTGTCGATCTCCTACCACCTCTAAACCCCCCTTACTTTGTATAAATCACCCTCTGACGAGGGTGGTGAGTCCTCGGACGGGTTGCTACACCCATCTCTGCGGGACTTTGAGCTCGAAGGTTCGGAGTTTTTGTTTTTTGTAAATTTCGAAATCATTTTTGTTCCCACGAGTGCGGCAGGAAGTGGACGTCGACCCCGGGCGGACCTCCCACATTGCCCGGAGTAAGGCTAGCGTGTCCCCGGGGTTCGCCAAGTGCCCAGGGTGAGGAACCACTAGCGACAGGTCACGCACCTGCCATTCATCCCATAAGCGTGGCATGCCTCAACCGTAGGATTACGTGGTGTTTTATAAAGGACCCGCCTCGCGGTCCGGCCAATTAAGGCAAGACCCCCGGCCCCAGAGACATGATCTAGGGTTACGGTGTGGTAGGCTAGGGTCTGTCGGAGATGCCTGAGCCCCCTGTACCAGGATGCCGAAGCACCCTGGCCCCTCACAATTGTGTCAGGTTGTACGTCCTGACAAGTACGGGTTTCCAGTCAGGGTTTTCCTTCCCCTAGGTTCCTTCCCCCAGGTTCCTTCCCCTAGAACGGTTGTCTTCACCCGGCTCACGAGCCCGTTCCGCCCGCGCTGCAGGGTCCTTTGGGTCACACTAGTACAAGTACCAGTGCGGCTCTCCGGTCCCTATATGAAACTCGGAGGCAGCTGCCCCTCTGAGAGTGAATAAGGACGCTCTTAGTCTGGCCCCTCTGTAGACCTCTCCGGCATGGTAGAACCTGCCAGGGGGCGAAGCCCCCGCCGGCACAGCTCTGTACATCATCAGGGCACGCAAGCTCCCCCACCACGGCAAGGTGGCGTCCACGGGGGAGAAAAAAGTGGACTCCTTCTGTCCCCTTCCCCACCCAATGCCCAGTAACCTGGCACAGTCGTCGGCCATCCACTCCGAAAGGGGCCCCAATGCCCGGCGGCTTTTGCCTGACGGATCAGATCGCCCGCCACCTGCGAGTTCCCCGTTGCCGACTATCTCCAGCCGTCGAACACCAGGGTACTCCATTTCGGACGGATAACCCCCGACTATGTGCTCCAGATTTCCCGGACACCGGGTGTTGTGCCCTTGGTTGCATGCTAAATGGTGAGTGGTGAACCTCATCCATCTCGCTCGCAATCCAGGCACCGCAATTGTCATGCCATTTCTGGCATGCGCTGGTCGAACTGCTTCCGGTCGCGGTATCGTGTGTCCGCATGCACCCTTTTCAGGGCCGGTCGAGGCGCAGGGGACGCCAGCTGCGGGGTCTCCCAGCCCTGCAGTAGTGCATACAGGAGGCTTCGTCATCGTCATCGGCGTCACATTGCCGCCCCACACACGCCGGGGCCAGCAGGGGCCAGACAGCCTGACCTGGCGGGCAAGTTTGATTTATGCGGCGGTCTATGATTATCTTTGCGAGCTTCACTAAAGAGGGTGGGAAGAAGGAACCTTTTGTAACAAGAGTAGTCAAATCTTTGAGACGCTAGGTTCAACTTTTACAGTTGCAACAGCATCTGGCTGAGCAGAACTCCGCTGACCAGCGGACTGTCGGAACTATCTAGCCAGTCCTGAAAGATTGGGTAGATAGAAGCTATGACAAACTGATCTATCGTCTGACACAGATACTCTCCAGGTATGTCCCATGTAAGTGCTGTGTCCTAGTCACTGTGATGGGGGGGAGGGGGGATTGTCTGTCGTCGTTCAAGCGATGGTGGATAGTAAGAAAATTTGTATATGTATGGAAGACAGTAGCCTTCTTCTGTAAGTAATGCTGTAGAAGTCAGCAGCGGATCTCGTCTTACTTAACTTAATTTTCTATTTACATTAATTCTTTACATTAATTTTTACGAAATGTTAATGATTACAAATGCATTAATAATCTAAACATATCAACAAAATATGACTTTAATATATTAACATATAACTTGTGACGTGGCAGCCGCGGAGGCATCCGTCCCAGTAAAGCGAACCCTCGGTCGCGACGCGAGGAGGGCAAAAAATATCGCGCTTCTAACGGGGAGCTCAGGGGGACCCCCCATGAATAATAATAAGTGAGCATAACTATTAGTGTTAGGAGCGCGCAGGTGTGACGGTCCCGCGCCCCAGGTTTTGTGCCCTTGAACCTCCCGAGCCGACCAACAGGACCGGAGGAGCAAAAGGATTTGGAGGACGCCGCTCGCCGCCAGATGCGGCCCTCAGGTGACTGCTCTCTTTTCTCTTTTCCAATTAACGAATTAGGTGTCGTCTCGAAAAGAATTACCGCTGCCGTATTTGTTACGGTACAGGTCACACGGACAACAAGGAAGGAGCGACGCAGGAAGTATCGACGAGCACGTTCCCGACGCGTGGCCCGTTCGCCGAAAAACCGTGGCGAGAAAC